GTGCCACTACCGATAGCACACCTTTCTTTTTTTGTTGACCTCTCTCATGGCCAGGCTGCAGTGATATGGAGGTGTAGGATATTAGGGAAAAGTAACATCCCCTTTCCTGGTAATGACACATGCCCTCCTGCCTCCTCTTGGTATTGACAGATGACCCCTCCTTCAAGAGCCCCCACTTCAGCTAATCATAGATGACCCCCTCTTCCTGTGAAGACAGATGACTTCCCCTCCTGGTAATGACACATGTCCCCCCACCACGAAATGACAGCTGGCCCCCTCCCCCCTCCAGGTAATGACATATGACCCCCCCCCACCAGGTAATGACAAATTACTTCTTTCCCCCAACAGACAATGACAGGTGGCCTCCTTCCCCCCACCAGGTAAGGACAGATGACCCCCCCCCCTCCCCTACCAGTTAATGACAGATGACCACCCTGGGTAATGACAGATGACCCACTTTCCCCACAAGGTAATGACGGATGCCCCCCCCCATCTCCCCCACCAGGTAATGACAGATGACCCCTCCCCCACCAGGTAATGACAGATGACCCCCCCACCAGGTTATGACAGATGACCCCCCCACCAGGTTATGACAGATGACCCCCCCTCCCACACCAGGTAATAACAGATGACCCCCTTCTCCCCACCAGTTAATGACAGATGACCCCCTCCTCCACCAGGTTATGACAGATGACCCCCCCTCCCCCCACCAGGTAATAATAGATGACCCCTCCCCCACCAGGTCATGACAGATGACCCCCCTCCCCCACCAGGTCATGACAGATGACCCCCCTCCCCCACCAGGTCATGACAGATGACCCCCCCTCCCCCACCATGTCATAACAGATGAACCCTCCGCCACCAGATAATGAAAGATGACCCCCTCCCCCACCAGATGATGATAGTTACCCCCTCCCCCACCAGGTAATGATGGGTGACCCCCCACCTTCAGGTGCCCTCCTCCTAGTAATGACACATGCCCCCCCCCCCGGAAATTACTGATCCCCCCCCACACCATCCTGGTAATGTCACATTATCCCCCCCATGCTGACAATGAGAGTTTCTCCATCCAGCTCCCCCTCTGCTCATCCTGCTCAAACTATCACAGTAAAATCTGCAGCCCCTGGAGCTATAAATAAAAAAAGACTGACAATTTTGAAAAAAAATGCATTTTCTTTGTTTCTGTTATAATATTTTGCAAATATATAATCTTTATACACAAATTTAGTCCAAAATGTATTCTGCTCCATTTCTTTGGTGAGAATAACCCAAATCTGTGTTTATTATTTAGTTAGTAGGAATATCTAAGTACCTGTATATCTAAAAATTGATAAATCCTGATGTACTGATTGCTGATCTTATTTCTTGAGGCCCAAAAACACCAGGTTAGTACAAATATCCAACAAATGACCCCTCTTTGGAAAGTAGTCTAAGGTATTTAGTAAGAGGCATGGCGAGTTTTTTGAAGTTGTCATTTTTTGGTCAGAATTTTGTGGAGAAGAAGAAATGAAAAACAAACTCACTTTTTTTTTACATTCTGTCACCAATGTAGTACAGTGTCACCCTATAACTGGTGTGGTGGTGATCAGGGACACAGACTGGTGACAGTATGAAAAAAAAAAAGTAAAATAAAATCATTTTAACATTTTTTAAATTAAAAAAAAAAAAATTTATTACAGTTTTTTACATTTTGTAATGATTTTTTTTTCTACTCCTGTGAGTAGAGCAATACAATGTTACCATAGTAACACTGTACTACTCTGAGCAAGTGATCAGGATTTTTTTTTACTTACACACTATGATTGCTTATACCAACAAATTTCATTGGTATAAGCAAGCAGTTTTAATGAAAGAAACTGATTCATTCGGTATTTTTTTTATATGATCAGCTGTGATTGGCCCAGTCTCTACATGTGATCACTGTGACCAATCACATGTAGCAGCACAGTTGTAAGCAATAAATGGCATTAAAGGAAGCCGTTCATTGTTTACAACTGTCATGTGCGATTGGTCACAGCGATCACATGACGTTGGCAGCAGGCCAGTGTAGTAATCTGTCATCGACCATGTCCGGTGGACACAGCGGTGACAGATCGTATTGGAGTGTGGCCTGTGGGGCATGCGTGAAGTGTGATCCTGGAAGAATGTCATAGTACAATAGGCCGGGCGGGAAGGAATTAAAGAAATTGCTTACTTTTTATGTTGCCCTTTGGGCCACTCCAAAAATGGCCACTCCTCATGAACAATAACTTTTAAATGTTTTTCACTTTGACACATGTCCTCCAGATCAGTGTCCAGCCCCAGTGCATTTTCTACCCCTTGCCTTTTAGCATGTGAATGGGTCCTCTGTTATTTTACAGTTTGGTTGGGCAGCTGGATGTAGTAAAACTGTGGCTCAGCTGCCCATTTTTTTACCTTTCCACGACAGTCCATCTGAAAGAGGCCTATCTCATGACCAGTTATATCTATTATACCTAGCACCAGGTGCTTGTTTTCTATATGTTTAACCCCTTGCCTACCGGGCACTTATACCCCCTTCCTTACCAGGCCAATTTTCAGCTTTCAGCGCTGCCGCACTTTGATTGACAATTGCGCCGTCATGCAACATTGTACCCATATGAAATTTTGATCATTTTTTTTTTCTCACAAATAGAGCTTTCTTTTGGTGGTATTTAATCGCCACTGGGCGCTTTACTTTTTGCTCTATAAATTAAAAAAAGTGCAAAAAATTTGAAAAAAAAAAAAAAGTTTATTTGTTTCTTTTATAAAATTTTTCAAACAGGTATTTTTTCTTCTTCACTGATTTGCGTTGATGAGGCGGCACTGATGGGCACTGATAGGCGGCACTGATGGGCACTGATAGGCAGCACTAAAGGGCACTGATAGGCAGTACTAATGAGGTGGCACGGATAGGCGGCACTGATAGACAGCACTAATTAGGGGTCACGGATAGGCGGCACTGATATGCAGCACTGATAGGCGGCACTGATAGGTGACACTGATTATGGGTACTGATAGACGGCACTGACTGGCATCACTTCTGGGCACTGACTGGCGGCACTGACTGGCACAACCCCTGGGCACTGACTGGTGGCACTGACTGGCAGCACTGCTGGGCTGCACTGGTGGGCGGCACTGGTGGGTGGCACTGGTGGGCACAGGTGGGTGGCACTGCTGGCACATGTAGGTGGCACTTCTGGGCACAGGTAGGTGGCACTGCAGAGTGGCACAGGTGGGGGCACTGCTGGGCACAGGTGGGGGCACTGCTGGGCACAGGTGGGGGCACTGCTGGGCATGGGTGGGCGGGGCTAGTGGGCGCACTGCTGGGAGGAACTTGCGGGGGTCACTGCTGGGCACCGATCATCAGGGCACTGATCATCAGTGCCCTGATGATCGGTGCCGATCCCCGCTCTGACAACTGCTGGTTCTCGGCAGTACTTTCCTCACGATCTGACAGCGTGAGGAAAGTGCAGCCGAGAACCGGCACTTGCATTTTCCTGTGATCAGCGTGTCATTGGACACCGCTGATCACGTGGTAAAAGGCCGGTGGGATCGGCCTTTCAACCACATCTCGTGATCAGCTGTGTCCGTAGGACACAGCGATCACGGAGATCGCCGGGTGCGCGCCCCTGGGGCGCGCAGGAGAGCGCGTTCTGGGAGGACGTCATATGACGTCCACCCAGAACTAGCCGGCCGCGGTGCAGCCGTCATTCGGCTATGCGCGGTCGGCAAGTGGTTAAATACTTACGGACCTTCCCAGGTCCAAAATTTAATATTGAGCACAATTATTTTCAGCCTCCACAACAGTCCCATTTTCTCATGTTGGCCCATGGGAAAATAGGTTCCCCCCCCCCTCTTGATCAGAGTCTGTGCAAAATTAGAGAAATATGATTTTTTGATAGAGAATTCAGGAAAATATGTCTACCACTGTGTTTTCATTTGTCATTCCCAAGCATTAGAGAAAATCTGGACATAGAGTATCAAGCACCAAGCATACCCTCATTGCTTGCACACAAAATATTCTTTTTCTTCCATTTGTAAAGATTTTTCTTTTTGCAGCCAGTAAGATGACATATCTTAACCCCTTGTCCTTCAGAGGATTTACCCCCCCCCCCCTTTCCTGACCATGCCATTTCTTGCAATAAGGCGCTGCGTTACTTTAACTGACAATTGCGCGGTCATGCAATGCTGCACCCAAAATAAATGTATGTCCTTTTTTTCCCACAAATACACATTTCTTTCGGTGGTATTTGATCACCTCTGAATTTTTTATTTTTTGCGCTATAATTTTAAGAAAAAAAAACAATATTTTTTACTGTTTGCTATAAAACATATCCAGTCTCCTATATGTTTTTGGCGGCGAGAATCACTATAGCCAAATATTGGTAAGAGTTGGTGGTCCCGCTTGACTACGTCAAGGTTACATTAAACTGGATTATGGTCACTAATAGACTCACCTGCATTCTTCAATATTGGGAAATTTGAAAGAATCTGATATCCATGGATCCGCTATATCACGGTTCCTTAGAAGCCTTGAGTAAACCCTCCTCGTTTATACCTTTGTTCTTCTTTTCCTTTCCTTTTTTTCTTTTTCTCCTTTGTTCTTCTTTTCTTTTCACAGTACAGAAATTGAAAGTGGAGGTCTCTGGTACCTCTTAAGGCTTTTGGTCCACTCATAATCTCAGAACAACTTTGCAATCCTTTCCCTTTCCCCCCTTTCTTCCATCCCCTGCCCCTGTTCTTCTTCCCCACCTTGCGGTTGTTGCTACCGTTTTTTATATTGTTATTGATATATGTTGCTTTATCATTACCAGGTTATCTCTGTCTGGCCTTTAATGGGCTGGATTAGTCCTTTTGCATTTATAGTTGATTGTCATTATCTCCAACAATGATATAATCTGCATCTGAATCCATAAGTATCTTTCCTGTTTGTATATCTGACAATGAGTCATGTCTTAAAGTGTTACTAAACCCCGGACCCCGCACTCACTATATCTGGTCTCCCCGGACCCCGCATTCACTATATCTGGTCCCGGAGACCCCGCATTCACTATATCTGGTCTCCCCAGACCCTGCATTCACTATATCTGGTCTCCCCAGACCCTGCACATTCACTATATCTGGTCTCCCAGGACCCTGCATTCACTATATCTGGTCTCCCCAGACCCCGCATTCACTATATCTGGTCTCCCCAGACCCTGCACTCACTATATCCTGGCTCTCCCCTGGACCTCGCATTCACTATATCTCCCCTGACCCTGCTCTCCGGACTCCAGGACCCTGCATTCACTATGTTCCGCTCTCCCCGGACCCTGCATTCACTATATTCGGACTCCCCGGACCCTGCATTCACTATATCCGCTCTCCCTGGACCCTGCATTCACTATATCCGACTCTCCCTGGACCCTGCATTCACTATATCCGCTCTCCCAGAACCCCGCATTCACTATATCCGTCTCCCCGGACCCTGCATTCACTATATCCGCTCTCCCCGGACCCTGCATTCACTATATCCGCTCTCCCCGGACCCTGCATTCACTATATCCGCTCTCCCCGGACCCCGCATTCACTATATCCGCTCTCCCCGGACCCTGCATTCACTATATCCGCTCTCCCCGGACCCCGCATTCACTATATCCGCTCTCCCCGGACCCCGCATTCACTATATCCGCTCTCTCCCGGACCCCGCATTCACTATATCCGCTCTCCCCGGACCCCGCATTCACTATATCCGCTCTCCCTGGACCCCGCATTCACTATATCCGCTCTCCCCGGACCCCGCATTCACTATATCCGCTCTCTCCCGGACCCGCATTCACTATATCCGCTCTCCACGGACCCCGCATTCACTATATCCGCTCTCCCCGGAACCCGCATTCACTATATCCTGCTCTCCCCGGACCCTGCATTCACTATATCTAGTCTCCCCCGGACCCTGCATTCACTATATCCGGTCTCCCCGGACCCTGCATTCACTATATCTAGTCTCCCCGGACCCTGCATTCACTATATCCGCTCTCCCCGGACCCTGCATTCACTATATCCGCTCTCCCCGGACCCCGCATTCACTATATCCGCTCCCCGGACCCTGCATTCACTATATCCGCTCTCCCCAGACCCTGCATTCACTATATTCGGTCTCCCCGGACCCTGCATTCACTATATCTGCTCTCCCCGGACCCTGCATTCACTATATCTGCTCTCCCCGGACCCTGTATTCACTATATCCGCTCTCCCCTGACCCCGCATTCACTTTATCCGGTCTCCTATAGTACAATTATTTTAGTAAATATAAACTGCTAAATCACTTTTCTCATCAGCAGTATATAGCAGTCTTGTGACTTCTGTCGGTGTCCAGCAGAGCATGGGTTAAAGCTTGTAGAGGAGTTTTCTTTCTGCTCTAGGAGGATGTAGAACCCCTGACCCCTGTCTGGACAGTGCTGATTGGCCTTGTACTGATCACATGCACTCTCCCAAGAAAAAAATAAAAAAAAAAACCTCTCTAGCAATACATACCAAACTAAGCATGTGCATGCCTACGGTTCAGTCTGGAGATAAGTGGTGGTCCCTTGAAAAAGGAGAGTAACAGACAAAAAAGGATCAAATGGCCTTTTTGCACAATGCAGAGAATTAACCCCTTAGGTTCCACAGTGAGTATAACAAGCATGCTTTAACCATTTGCCTCCCGCCCTATGGCCGAATGGTGGGCGGCAAATGTCATCAGCGTTCTGGGGTGGACGCCATATGGTGTCCTCCCGCACATGCGCAGATTGCGCTCCTGCAGAGCGGCGCAGCGGTGCGATCTGTCACCGGCCATGTACCTCGGCCACGCCCGATGACAGATCTGAGTATCGGCCTCGTTGCCGGTACCATGTGACCTGCTGTGCCCAATCACAGCAAGTCACATGACAGTTGTATACAATGGATGGCTTCATTCATGCCATCCATTGTATACTACTGTCTAGCTGTGAATGGTCACAGCTAATCACATGCACATGTCATGTGATTAGCTGTGGCCAAATCACAGCTAAGCACAAAAAAAAAAAACCCTGAATGAATCGATGTCATTCAGGTAAATGCTTGCTTATAGCAAAGTAAGTCTTTGCTATAAGCAAATTGTGTAAAAAAAAAAAAAATACTGATCATGTTACTATGGTAACATTGTACTACTTTGGTCATAGTGAAATATGAAAAAAAAATCTTAAAAAAAAGAAAAAAAATTAAAAATTATAAAAAAAAATATATATATATTTTTTTTTTTCATACTGTCACCAGTCAGTTTCCCTGATCACCGCCATGCCAGTTATGTGATGATGCTGTACTGCACTGGTGAAAATATGTAAAAAAAAATAGTGAAACTAATTTTTTTAATTTTTTAACCTTCCAAAAAATTATGACAAAACAAAATACAACTTCAAAAAACTCGCCATGCCTCTGATGAAGTACGTCGGACTGTCTACTTTGCAAAAAGGGGTCATTTGGGGGATATCTGTACTGTCCTGACATTTGGGGGATATCTGTACTGTCCTGACATTTGGGGGATATCTGTACTGTCCTGACATTTGGGGGATAGCCGTACTGTTCTGACATTTGGGGGATATCTGTACTGTCCTGACATTTGGGGGATATCTGTACTGTCCTGACATTTGGGGGATAGCCGTACTGTTCTGACATTTGGGGGATATCTGTACTGTCCTGACTGTACTGTCCTGACATTTGGGGGATATCTGTACCTGTCCTGACATTTGGGGGGGGGGGGATATCTGTACTGTCCTGACATTTGGGGGATATCTGGGATATATCTGTACTGTCCTGACATTTGGGGGATATCTGTACTGTCCTGACATTTGGGGGATATCTGTACTGTCCTGACATTTGGGGGATATCTGTCCTGACATTTGGGGGATATCTGTACTGCTCTGACATTTGGGGGGATATCTGTACTGTCCTGACATTTGGGGGATATCTGTACTGTCCTGACATTTGGGGGATATCTGTACTGTCCTGACATTTGGAGGATATCTGTACCGTCCTGACATTTGGGGATATCTGTACTGTCCTGACATTTGGAGGATATCTGTACTGTTCTGACATTCTTGAAATGAGATTGGCCGTCAGTACTTCAGGATTGATCAATATTCAGATCTATACCATAGTTTGTGAACTCTATAACTTTCCTACAAACTAAATAATACATCCTAATTTGGGTTATTTTCACCAAAGACATGTAGCAGAATACATCTCGGCCTAAATTTATGAAGAACAATTATTTATTTGCAAACTTTTATAACAGAAACAAAGAAACTTTTTTTTTTTTTTTTCAAAATTTTTGGTCTTTTTTTGTTAATTTAGCAAAAAATAAAAACCCCAGCTGTGATTAAATACCACCAAAAGAAAGCTCTAGTTGTGTGAAGAAAATGATAACATTTTAGTTTGGGTACAATGTTGTATGACCGCGCAATTGACATTCAAAGTGTGAGAGCGCTGAAACCTGAAAACTGGCCTGGGCAGGAAGGGGTAAAATTGCCCGGTATGGAAGTGGTTAATGCATCTACAGACTGATTTTACTGTTGTGGGTTTAGTAACACTTCAATTGCCACTTGGATGTGGAATTTTCCGTTACTATGATATCAGTTATTTGTGTACTGACGTCAGCTAGTCTGTTTTAGTTGTTTTTTTGCACTTTCCTAATAAAAAACATTGACATATAAAACATATCCAGTAAAAAAATGTAAAAAATCAAATTTTGTCAAAAATTTCAGCCAAAATGTATTCTGCTCCGTGTCTTTGCTAAAAAAAAATCCCAATACGTGGAAATGAATTGGTTTACGTGAAAGTTATAGCGTCTACAAATGGCGGTATAGATACTGGGATTTTATTTGTATGTTTTTATATTAGTAATGGCAGCGATCAGTGACTTATAGTGGGACTGCAGGACTGCAGCAGACATTCTAACACTGGGTGGAAACTAACTAACTGTCACTGACATCCCCAGTGACACCAATACAGTGATCAGTGCTAATAAAACACACTGACACTGTACTAATGGCACTGGCAGGAAGGGGTTAACATCTGGGGCGATCAAAGGGTTAACTGTGTGCTGTGCTTTACTGTGTGTGCTGTACTAGGGAAACATGCTGCTGTGTATTTCTCTGCTGTGCAGAGAAGTACACAGCAGCATGTGACTGCTGGCAGGAGAGAGACCTGTGTTGTTTACATACAGTCACTCTGCCTTGGCGATCACCGGGTGCTGGCGGGGAATCTCCGTCCGGGACCCAGTGATTGACATCTGTAGCCATCAATCTGTAGCTACCGAGAAATGCAAAATCACATACTGTATATATACGTGATTTTGCACAGCCCTGCCGCCCCGTAGCAGTAGTTCTGCTATATGCTATAGGGTGGCGGGAAAGCAGTCAATACAATACTAAAACCTAAGCATTCTCAGAAGCCACCATTTTTATTATTATTATTTACACAGTGCATATGAAGGTACAACGTGTCAGTTATATCACAAAATAGAATAAGTATAAATCAGCACACACATATATATATAAAATCCTCAAAAATCCCTTAAAGTCATATCAATATCCTTCCCCTGAAGTACTAATAATACATATATTCATTGACTTAAACCCAAAAACCCACAATTATAGTGAAAAAAATCAGGACCCAAAAAGATTACCCAAAAATAAAAAATATAAATAAAAGAACAAAAATAAAATAAAGTCCCAATATGCAAAGTGTCCAAATAATGTGTCCAAACAAAGATCAAATTCTTGATAGGAAGACGCTTCCTACTCCACTGAAGAAGATGCAAATCAATCACAGGTGCTCTTCAAATACCTCAAAAAACAAAATCTCAACATAGTATATTACCTTTTTAAATCACAGAACTAAAGTGCCACACGTGTATCATGCAAAAAAACACTCCAGTGTCACAGCACTCATGTGAAAAGAAAATTAATAAATATCACTGCAAACTATATATAAAGTGCATAATTACCCTAAAACAAACAGATTCCAGCTTGTAATCAACCACATATGTACAGAGGACACTCAATCTAAGGACACTCTTTACATATGTGGTTGATTACAAGCTGGAATCTGTTTGTTTTAGGGTAATTATGCACTTTATATATAGTTTGCAGTGATATTTATTAATTTTCTTTTCACACGAGTGCTGTGACACTGGAGTGTTTTTTTTTTTTTTGCATGATACACATGTGGCACTTTAGTTCTGGAATTTAAAAGGTAATATATAGAGATGAGCGAAGTATTCAAAAATTCGATTCGGCTGATTCGGCGAATTCCAGTATGAAATTCGATTCGATGCGAATTTATTCGCTACGAAGATGACTTATAAAAAGGGTTTCTAGGCTTCAGAGAGCCTTTAAATTAGTGCAGAACACTGTACCTTTAATTTAAATGCCCTTGGAGATGAGGAAGAAAGAAGGAGAAGGATGAGAAGAAGGAGAAGGAGAAGGATGAGAAGAAGGAGAAGGATGAGAAGAAGGAGAAGGATGAGAAGAAGGAGAAGGATGAGAAGAAGGAGAAGGAGAAGGATGAGAAGAAGGAGAAGGAGAAGG